TGCCTATAGGGGCAGGTGCAGGGGCTCTCCCTATAGGTGCAGGTTCAGGGGCTCTGCCTATAGGGGCAGGTACAGGGGCTCTGCCTATAGGGGCAGGTACAGGGGCTCTGCCTATAGGGGCAGGTACAGGGGCTGGACTTTTTTTTTCCTGCTTTCCAATATCTACACCTCCTGTAGGCGGCAGCGTATCACCTGAATGTCTACATTTCTACATTCCCTGCAAGCCCGCGGTCCCCAACACTTCTTACAACACGTTTACAGTCTCTGACCATCTCTTGCCGTCTTGCCGCATGTCTGTACTCTCTGACCATCCCTTGCCGCATGTCTGTACTATCTGACCATCTCCTGTTACATATCTGCAGTCTCCAACAGCTTTCCCCCGCACTATATTCCCTGAATGTTATGCGCAGGCCTCCGGTCACGTCAGCGGCTGCAATTCAGGTCCCCTTGATCATGCGGGTCGTGACCTAAAAGTGGGTCGCCGCGTGCCTTCCGGTGCACTAGGTGAGGGGCTCCCCAGCCTCCCCCATAGCAGCAGTCATTCAAAATATGCTGCCCGGTGCCGAGTGTCAGCTTGAGGTGGGCTGGGGGTGTGGCCTCGAGGGAGCTCCACCCATACGTGCGTCGCTTACAGCTCCCTTTGCGGGGCCGGAGTGACGTCACATTCTGGCTCCCGGAAACTCCACAGGGCGCACAAGGGAGCTGTACCAGCACTGCGCGTATGGATGGAGCTCCGTCACAGCACAGCCGCCCCACACCGGACCCCTAAAAATGTCTGGGGAGTGTGTGAGATTGTGTGCGTCTGTCGGTGTTTTAATCGCAAACTACCAGACAATCGCACCTACCGTTCGTTCTGGTGCAGGAAGTGCGTTGCGTCACAGTTCATTTGAATGGCACCCCAAACGCACCTCCCGCCCACAGTTTGATTGCTTGCACTGGATCATGCAGCACCGCAATGCCGCGCATTCCAGGGCGGTGCGACTTAATGACCGAGGACAAATGTGGGTGCTGAGGGTACACTGGTTGAGGACCGCTGATGTAGGTTGACCAACGCTGGCTTAGACAAATCCATCACCCTCATCAGGTGGAGTATAACCAGGGCCAGTGAATCGTACAGACAGCGTAAGGGCAAACCCCGCCCCCCCCCCGGTATCACGTGCTCCATGTCCTGATGGCTTCTCACACCTCATGGAAGTCCAGTGTTGGGATCTCCCACTACAGGTCTCAGATCTGCACCCACCTAGTGTTCTGATTCTGCTCATCTCGGAGTTGTTCCCACGACACGATACCCAATATAGAACAAATCTGCAGGAGAGGTGCGCAGACCTGGGACCCCTACAGAGCTCAACGCTGATGTCCCCCCCAGGGGATGCAAGGAAGGTGAATGAGTGCAGAGTTATCAGGAGCCAAGGAAACGATGTACAGCAGCCAGGGCCGGATTCCCGGCAAGGCCCGTCCTCGGGGGGCGGCACTGAGCAGAGGGGCGGCACAGGCTTGAATCACCCGACAACCGCAACATAGGAGTTCCAGGCGCCAATTTACTTTCTACATTTAGCCCGGGTGTGCACAGGCAGAGCTAAATGTAGAAGAGGAGAAATCACTCGTTTCTTTACAAGTGTTCTCGGCGATGTCGAGAATCAAGAGTGCCGGTCCGTCCTCCACCCC